TGAAAGCCCGAGCTTTGAACTATCTGGACAGACAGCGTTTAATCGAAGCTAATGCGTAATTCTAGTATAACTTTTTACGACCCACTAACATTCTTTTGTCTTTTGACATAATGCTGCTATACCCATTTGCTGCAATGAAAACTTATGTGCATCGACTATAGTAGAAGGCAGCAATTCTACATATTTCTGTGGACACTGTAGTACTTTTGCACTGGGAGGAAGGGGGGATAAATAGGATCCGATGGTATCTGTGCTTTTCGTACAAACATCATGAGATTTGGAAAATAACCAGTCAACTGTTTTCAGTTGCACAGTATGTCATTATGACATATGGTAGGTACTCATCTCAGTCAGCTTCATCAGGGTTAACAAACTTAGCAAGCATATACTTGACAGTCTGTACAATCCATTCAGCTATACCATAAAATTGAGGATGATGTTAAAGTTAGCTCCATAATTCGTTTGGATCTCTCTAGGTGCATAAAGATTTGATATATATTGTATTGATAATGTATGGCCCACTCAAATGGTAAGTTCTCTACCATACAAGTAGTGGTGGGATGTTTGTCAGATATATACAGGTGTAAGCAGTTTTTTTCTTTTTTATACAGTATCAACATTCAGGAGTGCTCAGTGTATACTTGTATGTATATACATATATATGCATATGATATCCAAATATCCGTCTTTTGGTCTTGCTCTGGATCTCCTGAACGGTTAACCTTAAAAAAAGTTATATACAAATTGCTTCTTTTCAAGAGTACATCACAGGAAAATTATTGATTATTTGCAATTCTTAAAATTTTATATCAATATCTACTTCAATCTGTCAGTCATTGTATGTGCTGAACGGTCAATCTGAGCAATAAATTATCAAGAACAAATATGTTTCTTTTTATGAGGGAATTTCACGAAAATAGCAAGCTCTGTCAATGGATTGAAAGAAATATTTCGAAGATTGGAGCATTAATGGAATAAAACGCACAAAATTCCCAGTTACTTGTAGAGAAAATAAATTTTGCAGACATTTGCATAAACCTAAAAGAGAACGATTTTTTTTGTTGATATATTTAGATAGTGTGGCAAAAAGTGACCTTTTTCTGGAGCACATGTTTTTCATAAGTAGGGGGTTAATGAGAAAGAAAATTATGAATTACCGAGTAGGTTGTTCTGAGATTATTTTGTCCGAGAAGAATTTAATTGAATAATTTTTCTATCCTGG